TCTCCCAGAGTGGCAGGTCCTGCCTGCCCCATGATGGACTGAGGCTTCCAACACTGCTGCTGGATCCTTGGCTCCCTTTTTCCCCTCCCCTCTCCTCCCTCCTGGCCAAGTCAATGTTTTCTTCAAAGTTTCTCCTTGCTTGGCTGCTTTCGAGATGTAGGAACTCAACACTAATTAACGTGTCTGCAAATCCCAGCTCGGCTGGCAGGGCCTCAAATTCATTCCCAGTCCCCCGAGTGCAGAAGGATCCACAAGCTAGCCCTCCAGCTCCTTATACTACACGGCTGGCAGATGCATATTTTAACAACACACATCTGTTGGCTCTATAATCTCTTGTATTTGCCCTCCCTGCTCTGAGCTTTGATGGAAGACTAGAGGGAACTCTCCAGTGGTTACAGCCAAAGTGTTTGCTTTGCAATTTTGCTCAATTGCTGTCTGATTTTATTTTTAAATTTCTCCAAGTCCTAATCAGGCTCTCACTTTATTTAATTAATACCCCAGCTTAGTTAAATAGATCATAAATTAAGCAGCCCTGCCATTAAAGATGCACCAGGTAGCAAATAGCCCTCCAGTGGCTTCTCAAAGCCTGCCTAGCTTGGGCTCCCCAGCGAACTGTGGATGCCTCCGTATCTCCCAAATCCCATCTCACCAGATTTATCAGCTGCTGCCTTCCTGTCTCTAGGAGAAACAGCAGGGTAATTTGGGCAGTGGTAGGAGGGAAAGTGAGGGAGAAGGGGGGGTCTTTCAGCTTTGGACTGGGTTAGCTGGCTTCCTGGGCAGATTTGTCCCTGAGACTCTCCAAATAAAAGACTTTCCCCAATGCTAGTGACAGTGACAGGCTCTGTGTGAATGTTTGGACTTCCAAGGCTATGGAATTATCTGTTCCACTACATTTAACCATGTAGATTTGAAAACACTGTGACAGAACCTTCAATATTTAATTAAAATCTGGTGTAACTCTGCATCTGAGCAGGGAGGCATCAGCCCCGTAAAGCAGTTGTCAGACAGAAATGACGGCAGTTGGGAGAGTGAATTGGGAGGCATTTGGGACTTCTTGATACTGGGGGAGTGGAAAAGCTGGCAGGAGTGGATGAGGCAGCACCAACTCACACACACACAAAACAAAACCTAGACAAGGTATTTTCCAGAGAAAAGAGGACTCTGGGGTGTGATAGAGATGGTTCCCCAGAACATCCTTGGCTGGCTCATGAGCCCCTCGAGTTGTTGGCAAGCCCAGCAGCAGACAATGGGCCACGAGAGCCTCCCAGCTCTGCTCCAGCTGTGACAAGTGGCTTCCTGGAGAACTGCAAGGTTTGCAGGAAGATCCAGGGAAGGCTAGGGGCTCCTCTCCTGCTCAGGGGATGCCTGCAGCCCCAGAAGCTGGGCAGACTGGGGTGAAGAAACATCCTGCAGGTACCTGGTTCAAGTGAGGCAGCTCAGGTAGCCTGTCCCATCCCTTCCTAACCCAGAGAGATGACATCTGGGAGACCCCCGTCCCTCCAGAGGCAGCTGTTACCTCCTGACTAAAGCAGGGTTGTGGAGATGGCACATACCAGATCCAGAGAGGAGAAATGTCTGCACAGTTGGTGGCATCACACATCTGGAGCCACCACAAATGTCTCTCCATTTTCCTGTACAAACACATGCCTTGCCTCCCTCAGGTACAGTAAGTCTCCCTGACGCGCTGCACGCCGTAACCAGCTGTCAGGAGCCAGCATCCCTCTTAGCACACAGGATGTTGGAGGTGTTTACTCTTCCTGAGCCATTTCTATTCCTCTCCACCAGGCTGGCCAAAATGCAGCCCACAGACCACTGCTGGCACAGCAGGACTCACCGTCCCACCCCAAAGGTATCCAAGTACCATCTGCTGACTACGAACAACCTTCCAGCCCCTTTCCAAGGGTGTGGACTACCACTCATGGTCGTCCCCCCCCCCTGCCCCAGCTGGCTTTACATTTCCCTGGAACAGCTGTATAAATACACCTGAAGTGAGATTGTGCTGATGGGCTGCAAAGCCCCATTTTCTTATCGATTGGGTTTAAGTTGAACGCACAATAACTTTAATTTTCTTAAAAGGAAAATGCGCCGCCAGTGTGAGCTGCCGAACATCTTAGGTAAATGTACCAATTAGCAACTACCATGTATATTCACATAAACATTAACTACCATCTATTCAACACATTCCATAACCCCAAAGATAATAATGATTTCCTTTTGATCCATAAAAACATCTCTCTGCTCAATCAACCCTTTGCAGCAGCTCTGGGCTCTGACGTACACCCGTGCGCTCTGGGACTAAATTAGTTTTGAAATCTTTAGCTCTAATTAAATAACATTATTTCTTTTGTCTGGCTCCAGCGATGTATTTTGCCTTCGCAACAGAGGGAGGGAGCCCAGGAGAAGGAGGGGAAGGCAATGCAGCTTGCAGAGGTTGTTTGAGAGAGAAGAAGTCCCTCTGACAGCTGCGTTCTGAGTGATTTGCAGATGTCGTTCGTGTACGGGCACGAGTCAGAGCTCTGAGCTGCTGCAAAGGGGTGACTGAGCAGAAGGATCCAATGAGGGGATGTTAATCTGCTGGAGAGCAGGAAGAAGCTGCAGGAGGACCTGGACAGGCTGGGTTGATGGGCTGAGGCTAAAGGCATGAAATTCAACGGGACCAAGTGCAGGGTCCTGCACTGTGGCCACAATCACCCCCGGCAGCGCTACAGACTGGGGACAGAGTGGCTGGAGAGCAGCCCAGCAGAGAGGGACCTGGGAGCACTGGTTGACAACTGGTTGAACATGAGCCAGCAGTGTGTCCAGATGGCCAAGGGCATCCTGGCTTGTGTCAGGAATGGTGTGGCCAGCAGGAGCAGGGATGTGATTCTCCCTGTGCTCAGCACTGGGGAGGCCTCACCTCCAGTCCTGTGTCCAGGTCTGGGCCCCTCACTGCAAGGACCTTGAGGTGCTGGAGCAGGTCCAGAGGAGACAACAAGGCTGGTGAAAGGACTAGAGAGAAAGTCTTATAGTGAGAGGCTGAGGGAGCTGGGGGTGTTTAGCCTGGAGGAGACTCAGGGGGGACCTTCTCACTCTCTGCAACCACCTGAAGAGAGGTTGTGCTCAGGTGGGATCAGGCTCTTCTCTCAGGCAGCCAGTGACAGGACAAGAGGGCACAGCCTGAAGCTGCTCCAGGGGAGGTTTAGGTTGGATATCAGGAAGCACTTCCTCATGAGAGGGTGATCAGACATTGGGATGGACTGCCCAGGGAAGTGGTGGAGGCACCATCCCTGGAGGTGTTCAAGGAAAGGCTGGAGGTGGCACTTAGTGCCATGGTCTGGGGATGTGGTGGTGATAGGTCATGGGCCGGACTTGATGATCTCAGAGTTCTTTCCCAGACTCAATAATTCTGTGATTCTGTGTGTGAAAAGAAAAATCAGAATTACCTTCAGGGTCAGGGAAGCAAGAGATGGCAGCTGGGAAAGTTTGGGGGCAGGGTCCTTGGTAGGGTTGGGGAGACAGAAAAATAAATGCAGGGGAAATGACAAACCAGACATCAGAACTCCTTCTCATGGTGGTGCCCTAAGGAGGTGCACCTTCAGCCAGAGCTAGCACAGTAATTCCCCTGTTTTGGCTGCTCAAGACTAATCAGGAACTAAAAGCACTAAAACTGCTGATTTGGACCTATTTTTAATATATTTTTTTTTCCTTCCTAAAAATTAATCAGGAAAAAAAAAAACCAACAAGGAAAAAAAAAATCCAAACATCAATTTGAAGAAACTTAAATATGTAAATCATTTCACCTTGAGGGCTGAAAAATCAGGATGTACCTGGGAGCAAAACAGACTGGGTTTTGCCCAAGCTTCTCAAGAAAAAGGCCATTTTCATTAAGTTCTCTGAATGTCCATTCTGGGAAGCCTCACTGGTGCAGCCTGCCTTTTCCCAGCATTCTTGACAAGCACCCAGAGCCCCTTTGCCAGCCTGCCATGGCTCTTTGCCCTTGTCAGCACTACTCTCCCATCTCCCACCCAAAATGGGTCTTTCCAAGATCACAGAATCACAGAATTACAGAATTATTGAGGCTGGGAAAGAACTGTCAGATCATCAAGTCCAGCTCATGACCTGACACTACCACATCAGCCAGACCATGACACTAAGTGCCACCACCAGGGATGGTGCCTCCACCACTTCCCTGGGCAGTCCATTCCAATGTCTGATCACCCTCTCTGTGAGGAAGTGCTTCCTGATATCCAACCTAAACCTCCCCTGGAGCAGCTTCACGCCAGGCCCTCTTGTCCTGTCACTGGTTGCCTGGAGAGAAGCCCAGTGTTGGGACCTGTCTCCTGTTTACCATCCCATGCAACATCCTCCTGTGTTGCTCATGGGAAAGGTGAATTACTGAAAGACACACATTGATAAACATCTGAAAATAATATGAAGAGAGCATGAGAACCAGACTCCTCTCAAGTGGCAGAGTCCTCCTGGCCATGCCTTGGAGCAGCACTGCAGCGAGGGTGATGTGCAACACACAGATAGCACTGACACTCCTTACATTTATCCTTACATTTATGCACTCTTGGATTTCCACACATATTTGTAGAGCTGAAATACCCAACATTTTGTGCCTGTGTGACTCGTTTCAGGATTGCTGTGCTCTCAAAACAGAATCACAGAATCATTCTGGTTGGAAAAGACCATCTTCAAGTCCCACCATAACCTTTCTCTACCAACCATTAACCCAACTCTACCAAGTCCAGTGCTTAAACCACGGCCCTCAGCACCACATCTACATGTCTTTTAAATACCTCCAAGGATGGTGATTCAACCACCGCCCTGGGCAGCCCATGCCAGTGTTCTATTACCCTTTCCTTCCATCCTCAGTACCAAGACACAGCCCCATTGTTCTCACAATGGGTTCATTTCCTGCCCTCTTGATTTAGCAACAAAACATTTTGTCAACAAGCCTCTCAGTGCAACAAACTCCCCACAAATAATGTCCAACATGATAGGAAGATGGGACTTACCAAGGACAGTCAGCCGGGCAGGTCTGGATCGGATGGCGGCTTGAATGGCCTGACATTCATAGACAGCATCATCTTGGAGATCAGCTCTCAGGATTTTCAAGTGATGCTCTCCAGACAGATGGTCTCCTACGACCAGATAGCGTGGATAACCTGCAGAATGTAACACAGGAGTCAGGAGGCAGCTGGACCAACGAGCCCAAGGCTGAAGAGCCCCAGCTGCCCCACAGCCAGTGCCAGGAGCCAGGCAGCTTCTGCCCTCCTTGGCAGCCAGGGCAAAAAGAGAGAGAGAAGCCTTCCAAATTCAGGAAACAGACTGCAGGTTTTGCCCTAAGAGTTTAAAAAAGAACTGCTGAGGAAGGAGCATTAACTGAAATCCCTCAGAAAAGAGATGAGTCCTTCCATCATAAAACCCACCACCTCCAGCTCCTCTGAGACCTGTCATGGAATTCCTTATCTCTGCTGTGCATGTTTTTGTGATGACACCCTAAATATTTCCACTATTAGGGCTGTGTAAAGGCTGGGGGGGGAGAATGGGTCTGCAGGGGCACCGACAGCCCAACCCTGCATTCTGAGCCATCTGAAGCCCCACAGCATGAAGGTTGACACCACCCCATGCCTCCTCAGGCAGGTGATGGATGCTCTGTGGAGCACAGGCAGCCTGGCAGGCTTGCGCATGTTGGTTGTTTTGCAAGCTCTCAACAGCAGGATTTGCTCTCCTGAACCACAAGAAATACAAATGATGGGCTTGTTTGTATTTAGCTAATTAGATGACTGGCTGAGCTGGGATCATGAGAGCTGGCAAGTTCCTCTTGCTAAAAGCAGCTCCAGCTCCATTAATTGTGGAAGTTGTTCACATCAGCTACGTACTTCAGTGGAGCTGTTGTTACCCATTCGTGTTGTGAGGTCTGGTATGGAAAGCTCAGCTCTCTGATATATGTAAAAATTGTGTCACAGAGCTTTGAAACCCAGCTGAAGAGGGGACTGCTCACTCAGGCAAGTCTGAGAAATGATTAATTATTTGTATTCAAAAAACAGAGGAAAGGAAATCACAGGCATTGCACTCGAGAGGAGAGCGAGGTCCCTGGAGACCAAGGAACATGAGTCCTTGCCTGGTTTGTGATTGCTGCTGCTTGACTTGGAGAAAAACCCTCTCAGGTCTCCTGTGCTCTTCAGAAGTTGAGCAGTGGCAGCATCACACAAGTACAAATTGCTGTGCTCGGGGGTGGGGGCAGAGGGCTGCAGTTGCCCTCCCATTCTTATGGCTTCTCCCTTAGTCATGAGAAGTATTTAATTGAAAAAGTAGTAATTTCCAGCAAAGTACATAGAAAACCATGTAACTTCTCCACTATTGCTCCAGAGTCTTTGCCAGTTGCAATAAACTCTCAATCACAACCCATGTGTGGGATGAAGTAACAAGAAGTTGGGGGAATTTTATTGCCAAACTGTAATTTGCAAAAACACACAGCTTGAAGAAGCTACAAGTACCTGTGGGCTCCCCTGGATTGCAATAAACATGTTTATCCAAAGCAAACACAGACTTCTATTTTGAGAATGTCAAAACAGGCACTTTGAACATTTACCAAACATTAAAGCCTGCATTTTGGAAACATGACATTTGTTTCCAAAAGTCAACCCAAGGCAAGGCTTTCCAAAGGGTCAGGTCTCACCTGGGGAAAACCAATGGGTTTGCTTCAAATCAGAGGGGAAGAAAAGTGTTTCACTCCAAGTTTCAGTGCTCACGTTAGAGCTGACTGGAAGGTTTTGCAGTTGACATTAAAAAACGCTCGTTGTTCTCCAAATAAATATTGTGGCTGCACCTGCACAGCTGGGCAGGGAGAGCTCCCGATTTCCTCCTTTAGGTGGAGTAGTATCAGGACTTACTTGAGAGGTCCCGTCCCACTCCCAGGGCGAGCCCGTCTTTGATCCAGAGCACGATGCCGTTATACTCGGGGATGGCGCAGAGCAGCGTCACCGGCTGCCCCGCCACCACCACCTGGTCCTGGGGCTGCTGCGTGAAGGAGGAGGCTTGGCCTGCAGAGGGGAACAAGAGGGGAAGAGGAGGCTGTCAGTCCTCGGGGGATCTGCCATACAACGCAGCGCTCTGGTGTCATGGGTTGACTCAGGATGGGCAATTAAACACTCTCGATCCCCTCCCAGGTAGGGAAGGAGAGAGAGAGAATGAGAGAGAGACTATTTGGATTGAAAACTAAACTACACAGCTTTTATTAAACACCAATGATAAAAGAAAATATGTGCAAAATATGCAGCTCCCCCAGCATCTCCTGAGCTGTGAGCAGCCCTGGAAAGTCCTGGAGCTGCCAAAGAAAGCGCAGAGTGATGAGGGTCAGGAGAGCTGGAGCCTGGGGGTCCCCGGGGAGGGATGGACGGAGTCCTCCCCGGACGCCGGCCATGGGGGGAGGAGAAGGGAAGAAGAACCAGGAAGGAAGTTGTCTTGTGTGCTCTCTGTCCTTCCTCTGAGCTTACGCAGCTCTATGGAATGGATTATCTGTGGCCAGTTTTGCTGTCTGTCTAACTCAGCCTCCTGTGGGGGTCAGAGATCTCCTGGTAGTGCCCAACCCAGCAGGGCAAAGACGTGACCTTGGAGTCCCAGCAGTAACAAAAACATTCCTGTGTTACCATTCCTGGCTGGAAATAAAAGAGAGCTTACTGAAGGGAAAAAAAGAAAAAAATCAGTAAAAGGAAAACTAGCTTCATCTGGCTCAAACCAGGACACTTGGGATGCAACAGCTCAAGGTGCTCCTGCTGTGGAACAAACCTGTGGCTGAATTCAGCTGCTCTTCATTATGGGATCACTTACTGTCTCCTGTGATGTTTTTCCTCCCTGGAGAAAAAAAAAGTCAGGCTTTTCCTCTAACTGGTTCCAACTTGTGGTGCTGGTGTTTTAGCCATCCTGATCAACAGACAGAAGAGCAAACAGCTTGAGCAGCAGTCACAGTTTGTACTATGCCTAACACAAGAGGACGTTGGTTCTCTGCTTCCAAGTCTCACTCCCACCTCATGTGCTTGCTGAAATCAGGATGCACAGTGAAGAACCCGCCACAAAACACTCAGGAAAACATTTGACTGCTGCTCGTCTCTCTTCAAGAGCATAACCAACCCTCTGGGAGCTTCACATCCACCTGGAAATGGGAGGAAGAAGCAGCCCTGGTCCAGCACCTCCTTTTGCCAAAGTTTCATTGTCAAACTCCCAATACCCAGCCGTACTGAGCCAAGCTCTTCAGCATCACACCTATCACCTTGGCTGACACAGATGGACCAAGTGCAGTGGTTTATCATCTCCCTCCTCACCCTGGATGCTCCACTAACCATTAAAAGCCCTCAGGTCATCTCCTGCCAAGGTGAGATGTCTCACACCTTGGGTGGAAGGTAAGACTTCTCATTTTCAACAGAAAGTACTCAAGTGCTGTACAGTCTTTTTCACCTCAGGGTTTGCTTAGTGCTGGCTTTGTGGTTTATTTTCCAAATGTGTTTTTCTTTCCAAAATGAGTGCTTTGGGTTTCAAGGTGGAGTTCTGGGGTGCCCACACAGCACATCCCTGGTGCTCACCAGAGATGGGGCCGCAGGGCAGCACGGTGCCAGCTCCTTTCTTGTAAAGAAAATAGGAGAAGCAAGAACAAAGAGTGACCAAGCACCCCATAACCAGATAAGCTTCTGGGATGTCTTAGAAAGCAGGTCATTGTGCTACAAGGCAGCAGATGTGTAGTGCCACAGTTTTATGATGTAAGGTCTTAAGTTTCAAGCCACTTCAGGCTGATCTGCTGGTATCTGGACACCCTGTGAGTGTGCTCTTCTGTGTTGTTACATGCAGAGCGTCTGAACATCCCTGTGGTTTTGCCAGCACTTAACATCTTGCATTTACTCTGGATACAGGAGAGATCTGAAAGAGGCAGAAGTTGGGAGAAAGGCCAAACGACTGGATTGCTACATTACCTGAGGGGTTTTAATGCTCTGGAGCCTTGCTGGGTGGGAATTATCACCCTGCAACAGGCACCCAATTAAAAGCCCAGATCCCTCAGTCGAATGGCAGCTCAATACACAAAATCGTCTTGGGCTGAAGAAAAAGTGTCTCTTTACAATCAATCTGTTAAACCAGGACAGTCACCATGTGAACCACCCAAAATCAATTCAGTCCTCATTTACATTAACTCAATTTACTTATTGACTGATGATTAATCTTAAACTAAGGTTAAGAGTGACACAAGTTCTCGCAACTCAACTTGTTTCCAAATGTGTTGTTGGGCCTTGCTCACAAGGCAAAGCTTCAAAGCTCAATCATTATCTAACCCGTGTAGTTAAACCAATATATACCCCCATATGAATGCTTATATTTCAATTTAATTGATTGTAGCTTAACTTAAACTTGCTCTTAGCCAGCTGAAGATGCATGGGGAAGAGCAGAGAGATCCCTTCTAGGTTTCTACTGGTCTACATACATCAGCCCTGATGAAATATTTGCACATGTCCCTGCAGCACCCAGGCACACCTCGAGCACCCTGCTCCTGGATATTTCAGAGGTCCTGGTTCTCCCAGTACCCACAGATTTGCAAAGAAATCTGATTTTCATCCCAAAGGCCATGGTGGTGGCTCTCAAGTTTATTCCAGAGGAGATTCCAGCTCTTTCTGCAGAGACAGACTTGCTGGAAGTCAGGGTCCTCCCTCACTCTGGCACCAGCAGAAACCTCAGCTATGCTGAATTAAGAGTTAGAAACTTGCTTTCACAGGGAATATTAACCAGCTCTGTATTTTATTCAGACTCATAAAGGACAGGCACTACTAGCATAATGTGGCAAGGTAGGGATGTGTTTGTTTTGTTTTGTTTTGTTTTTAAATATATATATTTTTTCCATCCACTAACTATGTTTTCACAGCTCAGTCCATAATCTTGACAATTTTCAAGGCAAGCAGGGACAGAGCTGGGATGCAGCAACAGCCCCCAAAGGTTGTTTTATCAGGGAGAATTATCAGGTTGTCAGCTGGGCTGCGAGAGGCGTAATGAGAAAGCAGAAGCACAGAGTGGTGTCCATGCCCTCTGAAAATGCCCATTAAGAAGAGGCTTCATTTGGTAATTGCTATTGGAAATGAAGCCATTTTTAGGGTTGTTTGGCTCTCTTTTTGCTGTGTTTGGTTTTATTTTTTTTTAAAGTTTTTTATTTATTTCTTGATTTGTTTTAGAGAGCAGCTGTTGGCCATGGAAAATCAGAGCAGAGACATGGCATATGTCTCCTGTCTCTTCCTTCCCTCTGTTTGTTCAGTGTAAAAAATTGTCACTTGAAAGCATTTTATTATGATTATTTTTTTTTGGTCCAAGGCACCATCTCAGCTACAAATAGCTCAGATTCAGGCACAGGAGAAGAGAGATGGGGGGTAAGGACCTTAAGAGCATTACCTGGCCCAGTCCCTGCTCCACAGAAGGATCATCTCTCCCTAAACCACAGATAAAAAAGAAGCAAAAACTCAAGTTCTGAAGGGAGAGCTCAACTAGCTTTCAAATCAGCTTAAAGACTGATTACTGGGTTTAACTGGGTTTGGAAGATCAGAGGCCCATCCACATTACAGCTTATGTCTTAATGTCAAAGGAACAAGTAATTTACAGAAAAGTTTTAAGAGAGAGAAGGTACTTGACAGAAAAGAACTGAAGATAGGGAGATTGGGAGGAGGTGATTTACAAATGCAGGTTGAGTGGTTTCAGCTACAAGAAAACGGGCTGGAACAGTCAGTTGGGTACTTTGCCCACAAATGTTGACAATGTTATTACAAAATGCTGCTTTGGTTTCAAAGCAGGGTGGTTTGACACCAATTACAAACCAAAACAAGCCCTTCAACAATCACACAAGATGCTGTTGGTCAACCAGAAGTCTCCCATTCTCTCTCGTTCCCCTAAATAGGGTGTTAGCCATGAAAATTCAGGTATAACCTGGCTTCCCAAATCCAAATTATTGCAGAGATTTGAGTTCAGACCACATGAGCCAAACAAAGAGTCCAGGAAAGGTACCAACAACCAGCCATCAGCCCGTCCACCATCCCCCTCACCTCAGACAGCATCCACCTGACACATGGAGGGAACCCAGGTTCTGGTTTTGCCTTGTGGCAGCAATCCCAAATGCCAGGGAGATACAGCAACCTGTACAAGTGCTTGCCACCCAGGTGGGGTCCTCTTACTCCCACACCCCATCTTCCCTCTACTTAAGCATAAAGACTTGGCATACTGTCAAAAAACTAACCCTTGGCTTCCTGCAAGTGTCTCTGGGAGCTTCTGGCTTGGGCCAATCCCAAATACAAATAGGGTGGGTGCAGGATGGATTGAGAACAGCCTTGAAAAGAAGGACCTGGGGGTGTTGGGCAATGAAAAGCTCAACGAGTGAGCAATGTGCACTCACAGCCCAGAGATCCAACTGCAGCCTGGGCTGCAGCACAAGAAGCTTGGCCAGCAGGTCAACTCGGCTCTTGTGAGACCCCACCTAGAATACTGGGTCCAGCTCTGGAGCTCCCAACACAAGAAGCACGTAAAGCTCTTGGAGCAAGTCCAGAGGAGGCTACAGAGATGATCCAAGGGCTGGAGCAGCTCTGCTCTGGAGACAGGCTGAGAGAGTTGGGGTGTTCAGCCTGGAGAAGAGAAGGCTCCAGGGAGACCTTGGAGCACCTTCCAGTGCCTGAAGGGGCTCCAGGAAAGCTGGGGAGGGGCTTTTTACCAGGGTGTGTGGTCATGGGGCAAGGGGTAATGGTTTTTAACTGGAAGAAGGGAGATTTAGGTTAGAGATCAGGAAGAAATTCTTTGCTGTGAGGGTAGTGAAGACACTGGAACAGGTTCCCCAGGGAAGCTGTGGCTTCCTTCCTCCCTGGAGTTGTTCAAGGGCAGGTTGGATGGGGCTTGGAGCAGCCTGGCCTGGTGAAAGGTGTCCCTGTCCTTGCAGCAGGGTTGGAACTAAATGATCTTCTATGTCCCTTCCAACCCAAACCATTCTATGAGTCTATGGTTCTGATGTTCATCCAGCAGAGAGGATAGACACCAG